CAGTAAGGCCAAACAAACCAAAACATTGGTGTTTGGAGCCGAGAAAGGTTTATTGCAGAGCCAAGCAAGGAGAATGGGTGGCTCATGCTCAAAAACCCCTAACTCCCTGATGGTTTTGTGGGAGAAGTTTTTAAAGGCAAATTTGGGGTGAGGGCTGCAGGGTGTGTGACTTTCTTCTGACTGGTTGGTGGTGAGGTAACAGGGAGGTGCTCCAGGAATCTTGTGCTGAGCCTGAAGTTACCATCTTCAACCTGGGTCGGGGCCTTAGTTCCTACAGAAGAACTCAAAGATATTATGTATATTCCTTCAGGAGGAACTAAGACTGTGTTCCAAAGCTGTACAATTGTTTCTTGACTGCTCGTCCCTTGTTTCTGCATTCCCTCCCTTCTCTGATTAACAACTGTTAATTTTTTTAATAAATAAATAAATAAATTTATTTATTTATTTATTTATGGCTGTGTTGGGTCTTCATTGCTCTGCATGGACTTTCTCTAGCTGTGGGGAGCAGGAGCTACTCTTTGTTGTGGTGCAGAGTCTTCTCATTGCGGTGGCTTTCCTTTTTGCGGAGCATGGGCTCTAGGTGCGCAGGCTTCAGTAGTTGTGGCCCATGGGCTCTAGAGCGCAGGCTCAGTAGCTGTGGCACCCAGGCCTAGCTGCTCCATGGTATGTGTGATCTTCCCAGACCAGGGCTCAAACTGGTATTCCCTGCATTGGCAGGCGTATTCTTAACCACTGAGCCACCAAGGAAGCCCATTAAATTTTTTTTTTTTTTGGCTGCATTGGTTCTTCATTGCTGTGCACGAGCTTTCTCTCTAGTTGTGGGAGCTACTCTTTGTTGCATTGTGTGGGCTTCTCATTGCGCTGGCTTCTCTTGTTGGGACTTCCATCATGGCACAGTGGTTAAGAATCCTTCTTAGCTTCTGGTGGTAGCTGTTGACCCTTGGTGTCCTTTGGTTTGCAGCTGTGTCACTCTAATCACTGCCTTTATCGCGTGGCTTCTCCTGGTGTGTTTCTGTGTCTTCTTATAGGGACACCAGTCATAGTGGATTAAGGGCCCATTCTACTCCAGTATGACCTCATCTTAACTAATTACATCTTCAATCTCCAAATAACTCACATTCTGAGGTCATGGGGATGTGTTTGGGGGGGACACAACCCATAACATGGCCCCTTCAGTCAAAATTCAGTGCCAGCTACTTTTTCTTTTTTTTTTTTTTTTGCGGTACGCGGGCCTCTCACTGTTGTGGCCTCTCCCGTTGTGGAGCACAGGCTCCGGATGTGCAGGCTCAGTGGCCATGGCTCACGGGCCCAGCCGCTCCGCGGCATGTGGGATCTTCCCGGACCGGGGCACGAACCCGTGTCTCCTGCATCGGCAGGTGGACTCTCAACCACTGCACCACCAGGGAAGCCCAGTGCCAGCTACTTTTAAACGGTAGGGAAGAGGGTGGTCTGGGGACAGACAGGAGGGACAAGTATGACATAAGTCACTTATTAGGAGGGCACCTAAGCCTGTCAGGAGAAGACAAAGTAGCAGGTGCCCAGCCAACTTATACTTTATCCTTTCAGATGATGTTTCACATTGTTTACAGGTCATGTGGAAGTCAAGGAGCATCCTTCCTATTTCAGGGCTTGTGACAGTTTAACTTTTCAAAAATTTCACATTTTGAGGAATTCTAGGAGGAAGAAGAAAGCTTAATTAACTGAGTCTGACTCAAAATGTAGGTTGAAATACACTTTTATTCATATGTGGTTACATTTGCATCCATAGTGTGGTAGGTTTGGTGGGTGGGCTAATGGCTCCCCCCAAATGTCCACATCCTAATCCCTAGAGCCTATGAATGTTACCTTATATGGCAGAAACTCTTTGCAGATGTGAATATGTTGTGGATATGGAGGTGGAGAGATTATCCTGGCTTATCTGGGTGGACCCTAAATGCCATCATAAGTGTTCTTATGAGAGGGAGGCAGAGGGCTATCACAGACAGAAGAGGCAATGTGAGGGAAGCAGAGTCAGAGAGAGAAGACGTTGTGTATGCTGGCCTTGAAGATGGAGGAGGGGGCCATGAGCCCCTGGAAAAGGCAAAGAAACAGATACTCCCCTAAACCTTCTGGAGGGAGCACAGCCCTGCTGACACCTTGGTTTTAGCCTCTTAAGACTCACTCTGAAATTCTGACCTCCATAATTGGAAGAGAATAAATTTCTGTTTTTGTAAGCCACCAAGTATGTGGTCACTTTGTTGAAGCAGCCATAAAAAACTTACATACAGAATGTGATTCCTTGTATTTAAATTCAAATATGCCTCTCTCTACATACACACATAAAGACATCAAGACTTGAAGAAAACAACAGTAAAATGTTAACAGTAGCTAACTGGTGGAAGAAATGTGAATGATTTTCTTGTCATTGCTATGATTTCCTGAATTTTCCAAGATTTCTAGAAAACATCTACAGATTCTTGATTCTTTTTCTATTTTTTTCTTTAAAAGTTAAGGTAATATTATTCAGTCTTTGAGAGTCTTGCAATTCTGACACATGCTAAAAAACGGATGAACCTTGAGGACACTATGCTAAATGAAATAAGCCAGTCACAAAAAGACAAATACTATATGATTCCATTTTTTTTTTTTTTTTTTTTTTTTTTGCGGTACACGGGCCTCTCACTGCTGTGGCCTCTCCCGTTGTGGAGCACAGGCTCTGGACGCGCAGGCTCATAGGCCATGGCTTACGGGCCCAGCCGCTCCGCAGCATGTGGGATCCTCCCGGACTGGGGCACGAACCTGCGTCCCCTGCATCGGCAGGCGGACTCTCAACCACTGCACCACCAGGGAAGCCCATGATTCCATTTTTATGAGGTACCCAGAGTAGTCAAATTTATAGAGACAGAAACTAAAATGGTGGCTGCCAGGAGCTGGGGGGAGGGAGGAATGACAGTGATTGTTTAATAGGCTTAAAGTGTTAGTTTTGCAAGATGAAAAGAGTTTTCGAGATTGGCTGTACTACAATGTGAATGTGCTTAACACTACTGAACTGTACACTTAAAACTGGTTAAGATAGCAGATTTTATGTCATATATATGTTTATCAACATTAAAAGTTTTTTTAAAGTTCATTTATATTATAAAAGGAGAGCTTCAGTGATACCCTTAAAAATAGATATGCAGTATACGATGTGATCTTGGTTACATGAGGTTGTATTTTCTCTGCATCTTTTAAAATCCTTTATAGCAGCCAGGGCTACCCTGTAAGTGAGCTTTAGACTTGTCCCACGCTATCCTTTTCTTTATCAATTCTCCTGTCTTTGCTTTTGTCTTTATTCTTTCACTCCTTTCATGGTCTTTCTCTGCTGCCTATGAACACATTTCAGGCTTTTGGGTCTTTGTTAGACTCCTTAAGAGTATGTTAATAAATCACTCCTTTTTGAAATGCTTCTTTCTTTGGCTTTTACAACGTCATTTGTATATTTCACATACACTCTCCTTACAGAGAAGAGGCACACACTTCAAAACACTCCTCCTGTATGCTGGAGTCTTTCTAACATCTACACCAGAGGCCACTGTGCAAGACTGGGTGAGTTCCTTTCTTTCTCCCACCCCCACATATAATCAGGCACCATGCTGACTAATTTTACCTCCTATGTGTTCCTCTAGCCCTATCCCATCTCTGGTTTCAGGCCTTCAGCCTGTCTTATCTGAATATTCCAATAGTTTGGTCTTACCCCATCCTCTACACTGTAAGCAGAGGGATCCATCTATACTGTAACCCTGGCCATGCCAACTCCCTTAAAGCCCTTCAGTTAAGGTGTACACCCTTCAACATGGCACCCAATATCCTCCAAGACATGGTCCCAACCTGCCTGCTCAGGCTCTACTTCCACCAGTTCCACAGCCTGTTACCTTTCATGACCAATCACTTTCATAACTTGCTGTGTTTCCTCAGCAATTTCTGGACCTCCTGCTGCCCCTCATTATTTTCTCTGGCTGGAAAACCGTTCCCCTCCACTTCACTGGACTGATGCACATCCACAGCTTAGGCATCATGTACTCTAAGAGGCTTCCCCAGTCCTCAGCGTTCCCATAGTGCCCTGGGAAAAGGTTGTTGCCTTAACAGTTTATATGGACATTAACTGTTTGTGTGCTTGCTTTCCCACTAGCTCTTTAAGGGCCGGGACCATCTCTCAAGTCATTCAGGGGTTCCAACTCCTAACACAGTGCCTGGCATATAGTAGGCACTCCGTCAGTGTTAATTAATTAAAATGATTAGTAATAAACACTTTTGTTGATAGGTTATATCCATAATCCACAAAACATTTAAAGCCCTTTTCACTGACCACCATTGCCTTAATTATAAATTTTGGTAGCAGGGACGAATGAATGAAATTCTTATAAAGAGGAAGAAGACCTCTGGGGATTATACATTCGATTTTTCGGTTAAAATTTTGATCTGTTTACTTCAGTCGGGCCTATTTTGGGGCATGTGTCTTTGACTTCTACAGCCCTACTATGCAGGGCTGAAATGAGGTAGCTCCATGTTCTGCACCACATACAGCTGTCTGGTACTTCGAGTTTGCCAGATCTGACCTAAAAGTAGACTTGCCAGAGACATTCTTTTGCTATTTCCGATAGACTAGTCAATGCTCCGGGATTCCTTATAGCAGAGAGGAGCCCCTTTGAAAGGAAACACCTGGCTACCCAAGGAACCAAGTGTAGTTCTCAACTTCCCCAGGCTGTGTGCCCCGCCTGTGGGTCTCGAGGGCCCTGGAGCAGCCCCTAGAAGCCGAAGAAGCCAACTGCTTCCCTCGTGAGGCCACCTGATCCCAAGAGACAGGCTTGCACCCCGCCACCCGCCCTCGGCCCCGCCGCAGAAGTCGCCGCTGCTGGACAGCGGAGCCGGGGTCACGTGCACTGGTCCAGTCCACCGCCCCCAGACCCGGGCCCGCCCCGGCGGAAGGGCAGAGGCCATCGGGATCACGCGCGCCCCGGCGGCCCTGGCCGGGCCCAGCCAATGGGCTGGCGGCGCCCGCATGACCCGCGCCGGCGGGAGGGCGTGGGGAAGCAGGCCGGGCGCGCACGCTGCCAGGCTGTATCGCCGCTCCCGCCGCCGTCGGGACTGGAAGTGAGCGGCCCGGGCCCGCAGCGCCAGCGAGCCAGTGAGAGCGTCCCGCAGCCTCCCGCACCCGGTGCAAAGCATGGCGGCCTCCAAGGTAAGCGTCGGCCCGTTGGCCGGTTGCCCCGGGGGGCGCGAGGGGCCCGGGCGTTCACGTGCCGGGCTGGTGCAACCGGGAAAGCAGATAGAAAGGGGTGCGGGGCAGCTGTTCCACCTTGCAGCAGAGGGAGGAGGGAGGTGCCCACCCCTCCCGGGCAGCACAGACGGCCGGTGCGGAGAACTGGGACCGGGGCCCGACCTTGCAGCAGGAACTTTGCTGGCTGGACCCTCCCACTTGGCCCGGGCGGGGAGTCAGTGCCTCGTCTGCGCCCGGCGGGCCGAGCCAAAGCCGGTGAGCAGGAGCGGGCACGAGCGCGTCCCGGGGCGGGGGAGTGCTCGGGGTCTGCAGGTCCGCTCTACCACCCCAGCACACTCGCGCTCCTGACCCTGGTAGTTGTTGACCCGAGCTGCTTCCCGGGGGTCACAGCCCGCGCAGAAGCCTAATCCCATTCGGTTTCAGAGGCTCCGCCCTCCCACGGGTGTGGAAGTCACCTTAACTTCCGTTTTGGAGACCGCTTGAGAGAGTTGGCCTGCGCGTGTGTGCGTAAAAACTCCAAAGCAACCCCATCCACCCAGGCCCCCCGCTTCTCGTCCTTCTCTCCGCATCTGACAACACTTACGTACTGGCCTCTAAGCGTTTGAGAGGCTTCTTTTTAGAAATGACAAAACAGATTGTCTTGGGAGCCTGTAACTCCTGTGAAGTTCTACTTAAAAGGAATTCTGCGTAAGGTGACTCATTCACTAACCCAGAGGAAAGGCAGCTCCGACAGCTTGACCTTTCCTCTTTTACCATTTCTTGAAACCTGGACACCATTTCAGCTTCTTTGGACTCCATTTCAACTCTTCTGGCAGAATACCATATTTAGTCCCAATCACTTGAATCATTGGCATTTATTCCTTTTAATTTTAAGTTCATGAAGGCAGCCCTTTAATCAAGCCTATACAACTTCTTAGCTCATTTTAAGTGCAGTGAACTTAAATATACCCAACATTTCAAACATTTGTCCTTAATCAAAACTCTGTGATAACCCTCAAGAGGAAAACATGGCCAACACATCATATTCCTATTTATTTGAGCAAACTAATCACATTTGCAATGGAAATTGTAAGCAGACAGATATATTTAAATGCTGTTCTATGACTTAGGTTTCTCCAAGCTTCCCGAAATCTGCGGGCTTTTCGGTGTTCCTAGATGATGTGGCCTAAGTGGCCTTTCTCTTTTCCTTAGTGACTCTGAGTTCCATCCTAAGGAGTGTGCTCTGGGTATGCATGTGCAGACACATGGGTATGTATATAACTGTTCTAGTTAGATTCTCTGAGGATCACGGGGATTCATTTTTGGAACCTACATTAGCCCTTTCAAACCCAATAGCCCTTGACCTTTTCTTTGCATTAAATTTGCATGCAATGAGTACAAGGCATGAATTATGTTCCCTCAAGGTGACTTCTTCCAGGAGAGTAGGTGGGAGTAGATACCCATAGTTCACTGTCATTTTTATGTCTGTAGATGACTTAAATAATTTTACTTAATTTGGAGATAAAGTGAGGAACTTAAATTGAGTATGCATGTAAATGGAGTATAAGACTGATTAACTAGTTTGAAATAAAATAAATGACATGGAAGGAGGTTTAACTTTTTGGTTGTATTTTTATTAAACTGTCACTTCATATCAATAAATGCAGTTGAATTTTAGCCAAGTAGTGAGAGTCAGGGAAAATGAAACATTTCATTTTTACTCTTTGGGAACTTGTGTTTTTGTTTATTTATTCATTTAAACTTGCCTCTTTTCAGGATTTCTGATGGCTCATGTCATATATACATATATTTATAAACCAACAAGACATATCAAAATCAAGTCAAAGTAGATGAGAAAAACAGGATAAAGGGAAAATAAGATGAAGCCAGGACTAAGGTTAGTGGAAAATAAGGATGTATGTACTTGCTAGAGGTGACTGAATATTCTAGCAGCCAAAGCAAAGAGGAAGTGATCAGTGAGGTCAGTTACTTGGGAGAGAGGTCTCCTTTTTCTGCTGAGGGCAGTTTCTCCCCATCTCTCTCTCTCTTTTTTTTTTTTTTTTTTTTTTTTTGTGGTACGCGGGCCTCTCACTGTTGTGATCTCTCCCGTTGCGGAGCACAGGCTCCGGACGCGCAGGCTCAGCGGCCATGGCTCACGGGCCCAGCCACTCCGCGGCATGTGGGATCCTCCCAGACCGGGGCACGAACCCGTGTCCCCCGCATCGGCAGGCGGACTCTTCAACCACTGCGCCACCAGGGAAGCCCCCCATCTCTTTTTATATGCAGTGAGCAAACTGCATTCAAAACTACCTCATGACCACAAATGTATGTTTGTGGATTCCATAAGGCCATTTCTTATAGTGTTTCTCATTTTAGCTCAAGGGCAGTAAATGTAGGTCCCCAAATGAGCTGTGCTGGTCCACCCTAGTCCAAGAATACCCTTTATTTAGTTGCCTTTGGACTCTTACTAGGGTGAGGTGATTCTGTCCTCTATTAGGCAGTGCTGGGCAGCCCCAATTAAAGGCCATGCTCTTGGGGCTTCCCTGGTGGCGCAGTGCTTGAGAGTCCGCCTGCCGATGCAGGAGACGCGGGTTCGTGCCCCGTTTCGGGAAGATCCCACATGCCGCGGAGCGGCTGGGCCCGTGAGCCATGGCCACTGAGCCTGCGCGTCCGGAGCCTGTGCTCCGCAAATGGGAGAGGCCACAACAGTGAGAGGCCCGCATAACGCAAGGAAAAAAAAAAAAAAAAAAGGCCATGCTCTTTGCTTTTTCCTGGAGCACAGATATTCCATGTTGAACACAGAGCCATAAGCTTAGCAATCTTCATCTGGGGGTAGGATTGACATCCCCTCTTAAAACTTGAGGAATCTGACTAGAAGAGAATCCCATCTCAGTGGAGTGTCTAAGATTCTGGAGTGCCCAGAATCAGAAACTGGTCTTTTGTTTATTCTTTTTTTTTGGCCACACTGTGTGGCTTGTGAAATCTTGGTTCCCTCATCAGGGATTGAACCCAGGCCCTCGGCAGTGAAAGCGCAGAGTCCTAACCACTGGACCTCCAGGGAATTCCCTTTTATTTATTCAACGTAACTAATTTTTCATGTCCCTCTTCCTTTAAATAGTATAAATAGGAAGGCTGAGCATCTGTTCTTTGGTAGGCTTTTATTTTGATTTCTGCTTGATGGTTACTACTTAATGCAAAAGGTATTTGTTTTTTTCATGAAGTAACATTGATCTGAAACTTGGTGTTTTGAGATGAACTCAGAAAACTTCAATTCTCTTGCTGCCACCTTTTGTAGGAATAATCCTTACGGGTTCCTTTGGTAGGTGGTAAACGATAAGTGGTCTGCCTGTACTACTAGTGTTATTTTGAGTATTTCTTTAAAAAAACTTCCAAGCACTGCCCTACATGTATTGAAATGAAAATGAGTTTTTAAAATTCTATTTTATATATTTCCATAAAAAATTCATTTAAAAAAAGTAGTATCAGAGAGGTTATCCTTTTCTTGTAGTCAACATTCCCTTTTTGTCACAGGTGGAGTTAATCCATTAAGAATGACGAAATTAAACTAGGCGAAACTGTTAAAAGAGATTGCTCACTGGAGTTCAGGTGTGAGAGATGTTCAGGTATAAAACTGGACTCCAATAATTTGGGTGAAATTAACCTAGAACTAAAAGAAGAACATTTGGAGACAAGCTAAAGCATTCATAATCGTGAAAATTTGGTCTGTAGTCCTAGTATTGCTATTCCATTGTTGACTGAGTTGTTGCCATGATCGTTGAGTCATTTAGAATTGTGTGTATTGTGTTTTTTCTAATGTTGAAAACGGGAATAAACTAAGGATATGAAAATGAACTGGACTCCGTTTGGACTTTCAAGAAAACCACAACCATACCACAGGCTAAATCCTCTCATGGAAGTGCCCCAAGTAGGGTTAGTGCCATAACAAGGGCTTATGGGAGCATCAGGGAAGGAGCCCGTTTCTGTCAGGGGAGGGGAGGGAACGTCTGAAAGGTAGTGGTATTTCAAAAGGAATAGTCGGAGGAAGAGGGAAGACCATTCCAGTGACAGGAAACAGCAAATGAAAGAAAGAGAGATGAGAGCACCTGCTGCGTTTAGGGGATAGCAGGTAATAAAATAAATAGGAGAGTAGCTAACACTTATTGTTTACTAGATGTGAGATGCAGTTCAAAATGCTTTTCATTATTAACTCACCTAATGCCCCTAACAGTCCTGTGAGTTACATACTGTCACTTCTGGTTTATAGATGAAGACTGAGACACCAAGGGGTGATGTAAGTGGCCTAAGATCTGATAAAAAGTGAAGAAGCTGGGTTTCAAATCAGCCAGTCTGGCTCCAGGGTCTGTGCTGTTACCCTGTCCACCATATTGTCTGCCTGGTAGTTTAGCATAATGGAGAGTAGAGTGTAGAGTTTATGGGAGAAGGGGGAGATGGCTTGGGAGGGGAAATTAGATGCCTCTTATTTAAGACATTTATTTTAGGTCTTGTAACTGTAAACCAGACTTTTATTTTTGAGAACCACTTACACAGTGCTTACTGTGTGCCAGGCACTTTCCCAAGTGCTTTACAAATAATAACTCCTTTATTTTTCATAATACCAAAAGTAGGTGTGGTCTATTTTTGTCCTCATTTTACAGGTGAGAAAACAGGTCTGGAGAGGTTAAGTAATTTCCTCACGGTTATACAGAGAATAAGCAACACAGCTTGGATTTGAACGCTGCCAGTCTGTGCTCAGAGTCTCTGCCTCACCTGCCCAGGCCTTAAAAAGAAGTTCTATTTGCAGAGGTGCATGTGAGAATTCACGTGTTATCAGTTATGGGCATGTGTATTTCCTGATCATTCCAGTCCAGTAGTTTGTATCTGTAGAATGCTTTGGCACTCAGTATATGCTTCATTGTTAAGTGGTTTTTGAACCAGATTGCACAGGCCAGAAATTGTCATATGCTTTTTTAAAAACAACTTTA